CTCTTTGTTGTTGTTGTGTAAACCACTCTTTGTTGTTGTTGTTTAAACCCCTCTTTGTTGTTGTTGCCGTTGTTGTGTAAACCCCTCTTTGTTGTTGTTGTTGTTGTATAAACCACTCTTTGTTGTTGTTGTTTAAACCCCTCTTTGTTGTTGTTGCCGTTGTTGTGTAAACCCCTCTTTGTTGTTGTTGTGTAACCACTCTTTGTTGTTTAAACCCCTCTTTGTTGTTGTTGTTGTGTAAACCCCTCTTTGTTGTTGTTGTTGTTGTGTAAACCCCTCTTTGTTGTTGTTGTGTAAACCCCTCTTTGTTGTTGTTGTTGTGTAAACCCCTCTTTGTTGTTGTTGTGTAAACCCCTCTTTGTTGTTGTTGTTGTGTAAACCCCTCTTTGTTGTTGTTGTTGTTGTGTAAACCACTCTGTTGTTGTTGTTGTTGTGTAAACCCCTCTTTGTTGTTGTTGTTGTGTAAACCCCTCTTTGTTGTTGTTGTTGTGTAAACCCCTCTTTGTTGTTGTTGTTGTGTAAACCCCTCTTTGTTGTTGTTGTGTAAACCCCTCTTTGTTGTTGTTGTTGTGTAAACCCCTCTTTGTTGTTGTTGTGTAAACCCCTCTTTGTTGTTGTTGTGTAAACCCCTCTTTGTTGTTGTTGTGTAAACCCCTCTTTGTTGTTGTTGTGTAAACCCCTCTTTGTTGTTGTTGTTGTGTAAACCCCTCTTTGCTGTTGTTGTTGTGTAAACCCCTCTTTGTTGTTGTTGTTGTGTAAACCCCTCTTTGTTGTTGTTGTTGTTGTGTAAACCCCTCTTTGTTGTTGTTGTTGTGTAAACCCCTCTTTGTTGTTGTTGTGTAAACCCCTCTTTGTTGTTGTTGTGTAAACCCCTCTTTGTTGTTGTTGTTGTTGTTTAAACCCCTCTTTGTTGTTGTTGTTGTGTAAACCCCTCTTTGTTGTTGTTGTGTAAACCCCTCTTTGTTGTTGTTGTTGTGTAAACCCCTCTTTGTTGTTGTTGTTGTGTAAACCCCTCTTTGTTGTTGTTGTTGTGTAAACCCCTCTTTGTTGTTGTTATTGTTGTTGTTGTGTAAACCCCTC